TCTCTCCTCCCTCTCTCTCTCTCTCTCTCTCTCTCTCTCTCTTCTCTCTCTCTCTCTTCTCTCTCTCTCTCTCTCTCTCTCTCTCTCTCTCTCTCTCTCTCTCTCTCTCCTATCCTATCTTGTTCCTCTCTCTCTCTCTCTCTCTCTCTCTCTCTCTCTCTCTCTCTCTCTCTCTCTCTCTCTCTCTCTCTCTCTCTCTCTCTCTCTCCCTCTCTCTCTCTCTCCTATCCTATTTTTTTCTCTCTCTCCCTATCCTATCTCGTTCTCTCTCTCTCTCTCTCTCTCTCCCCCCTATCCTATCTCGTTCTCTCCTCCCCCCTATTTCTCTTTCTCTCTCTCTCTCTCTCTTTCTTTTCTCTCTCTCTCTCTCTCTCTCTCTCTCTCTCTCTCTCTCTCTCTCTCTCTCTCACTCACTCACTCTGGGTCGTCGTCGTCCATGCCTTCCTCCACAACAGAGGCAATGGTAATCCTTGTTCAAAAAAGAGTTAGGAGTCGGTGTCGCTGAACACCTCGAGCGACAGGGATTCTGACAGCACACTTCTATGAAAACAACAACTCTAGTAACAGCAATGACAACACCGAACGCTAAACTCCGCGCGGTTACCAACTTGTAATTCGGGGTGGGTGATTTTTTTTCCTTTTTCCTCATTTTATTTTACTTTGTAGTCGATGGTTAGGATCATGAACTGAGTGAGAAGTTAGTAGGTTGTGATAGCCTTGATATGGCTGCGAGAATAAGACTCATGGGTTCCTTTATTTGAATTGGAGGCTGGTTTTACGCTTAGAAAATTAGACGCGAAATTGAGTAACCTGAAACTCTGCGCGGGCTGTTAGGGGTACCAACTTCTGCGAACAACAACAAAGATTTATAAAACTAATAGCAATACAAAAAAAAGAAAGAAAAGTAATCAAAATGACGGGGAAATGTACGTCTTCGGCAAACAACTAAAGATGAAAGTATTTATATTTCTCCTTAGAACTTCAAGTCTCGCAGGGAAACATTTTTCAAAGTCAGGCGTGATGACAACATAATTATTTTGGGCGTTTCTGTCAGCCAGGAAATTCATCTTCCAAAAACTGATCTGATGTATGGTGCGTTCTCTTCCATTTCATAAAAGCGGCAGATAAAATAAGCGTATATTGCCATTTAGTGAACGGCAGGAACAACGTCGCTAGTGGGCGTGTACTGTGCTACTACGCGCTTACTGTGAGCAGTTTCGCTGACAAATTTCAGAGACTTTATGCATGTAAAATATATGTCTGCATTGATACACGATACACATATTTTTCTTGTGTGTGATATACATGATATACACGTACATATACATAACTATATTTAGTATTTAGATAGATATACATATATCGTGAGACGCACAAGAGACAGGAAGTCCAGACAGGAAGCGCACGACAAAGAGAGAGGAAGAGTGCGCCCATATTTCTTCCAAGACACGGAACGACTGCTGTTAACTTATCACAATTATGATAAAAGAGAGAACGCACACGGAAAATAACAATTCTAAGCTACGCCACGGCTGCCTAGCTCTATCTTTTGGTTTTGAGTAGAATATGCGAAGAAAATCATATTACTTTTCCGTTAAAATTATCACCATATTCAAAAATAGTCATACGCACACAATAACTTATTTTACTTTGTTTTTAGTTAACTGGTGACCTATGGCTGTGGGGTGTCAGGCTTGATTGACAACGATGCAGCCCAAAATTGGCGCGCAAAAAGGGTAAGGCGGCGGCGCGCGGTGGTACGACTGGCGGCCTCTCGAACCTCCCGCCAAAGGCCACCTTTTCGCAGTCTGTGTCCTCTTCACTGCCCTCTCTCTCTCTCTCTCTCTCTCTCTCTCTCTCTCTCTCTCTCTCTCTCTCTCTCTCTCTCTCTCTCTCTCTCTCTCTCTCTCTCTCTCTCTCTCTCTCTCTCTCTCGTGGCCTCGGCGTGGTCCGGACAGACTCTCGGTGGACGACGAAGCTTACAAACAGATGCCGAAAATGCGTGAAAGGCTTTGAGGAGAGCGTGGAACGTAACACTTCGGGAAATGGTCCGTGGTTCTGAGGTAGACAAAGAACTCAAGATCTGCGTTTCCCACAATCAAAACGTCTGGTCAGAACATAATCATACAATAACAATACTACTAATTAGCGAAAAATATGGAATCAGCATGACATGTATATCATTCATACTAAAACAGTATTAATGATAATCATAATAGTAATGATATGATCCGTGACATGGCCACAGGAGGGTCATGACTTCACCTTTCTCAAATAATGGCTCTTGTATTCATTTAAGATAAATAAATATACAAAAGAGAGGAGTGCAAACGCCCTCCGCCGGTTCCAGTACCTCTGACAGCTCCGAGTAACAATTTTCAGGTCTTTTTGTCCCCTCCAATACCTTGGCACTGGTCACGTCACTCGGGAGGCGGGGAAGCAAACGAAAAAGAAACGGCGAGAGAGCGACGGAAAAGGAAAATAATTGTTGCATTTCTTTCATTTTGAAGACCTGCTCGTGCCAACCCGTACTCAAGCCAACGAAATAATTGAGTCAAGTAGAACATGGATCTGCCAACCGATTTTGTGACTCACCGTAACGGCTCGTGGATGGGCTGTCGCGTCGAGCTCCGAGGAAGGTCGAGGGGCGGGAGGCTCCGGCCAGAGAGCCCGGGGATGGGGAAGGCACAGGCACTGGGGAGAGGCCAGGGGAGGAGCAGGGACGTGGAGGCCAGGGAGGAGGGGACAGGACGTGGAGGCCAGGGAGGAGGGGACGGGACGTGGAGGCCAGGGAGGAGGGGACAGGGACGTGGAGGCCAGGGGAGGAGGAGCTGAGGGCGTGGAGACCTGGAGAGGAAGGTCCAGGGCCTCGAAGGCCAAGGGAGGACCGAATAGGGACTTGGAAATCAGGGGAAGAGGGGCGAGGGACGTGGAGACCTGGAGAGGAAGGACCATGGACATGAAGGCTAGGGAGGGAGGGCCCAGGGCCGTGGAGGCCATGGGAGGAGGGGCGAGGAAAGGGGAGAGGCGCTGACCGTGGAGTCTTGCCTGCGGGACCAGTCAGGCCCTCCACTGTGCTTATGGAGGCCACCTTGTTTTTCATTTTGCCTTACGAGGGTTCTCCCAGCCCCGCCACGCACTCCCCTGCCCATGCACTCGCTCCCCTCGCGTGGCGGCATCCTTGGTCGTTCAGCTGGAGTTCCATTTTCGAAAAGGTTTCAGCCGCACCGGAATCGTTAGCCTCTGCTCTCAGGGAGGCCTCAGCGGACGGCAGTGCATGATGACCTGTTCACTGAGCGTCCTGTGATCCTCCAGTTCCCTGCGTGAGGCCTGTGTGCAGCTGCGTTACGTCTGGGAAATCCGGAAAGCGCCCCGACTTGGCTCCGAGCTGAGCAGCAGTCTCTGGTCACAGGTCAGTTTCATGATCATTGTCTATTTCCTGCCTTTCATCCTTCCGGCACTTTTACATCCAACGATCTTGTTAGTAATTCATTTTCAAGTGTAAAGACTCGATAGAAATTGCCCTGAAAGACTTGAATTTCAACAGCTGTTCCACATACGAACAGATAAGCAGAGATGCACGCACGCATACACGCTGACGAAAGGAAACCAGCAGCATAAAGATACACATCGAGAAAAGAGAAAATCGCACTAGCTTAAGCCCCCCCCACACTCATATATTTACATGTGTGTGTGTGTGTATTATGGGGTGTGTATGTACATACAGACACACACACACACAAACACACACACAAACACACACACACACACACACGCACACACGTATACACACACACACACACACACACACACACACACACATATATATATATATATGTGTGTGTGTGTGTGTGTATACATATATATAAGCATATGTATATGTATGCATGTATGTATGTATGTATGTATCTAAATCTATATATATATATGTATGTCTATGTATGTATGTATGTATATATATGTATATATATATATGTGTATGTATGTCTATGTATGTATGTATGTATGTATATATATATATATATAATATATATATACATATATATATGTATGTATGTATATAGATATGTATATATATATGTATATATAGATAGATAGATAGATAGATAGATATGTGTGTGTGTGTGTGTATACACACACACACACACACACACACACACACACACACACACATATATATATATATATATATATATATATATATATATATATATATATATAATATATACACACACACACACATATACATACATACACACACACACACACACATACACACACACACACACACACCACACACACACACAAATACATACTGCCCTAGCCACCTCCATGGAATTAAAGAGAAGGGAGAATGCTTTAGATGAAACTGTTAAAACTCCAACAGAAAACGGTTTTCCAAAGTCCGGCCCATAATTGTTAACGACAAAAACAGACATAGAAAAAAAATGGGACAAAAAGCCCGACTGGAAATCGGAAATTAACGCCGATCTCACACAGGTTCTCGAAATGAATTGTTTTCCTCAATTTAATTCTATTTTTAACCTTTATCGCAATGGACGGAGTTGAAACGAGGAGAAATGGGAGCAAACATTATGTTCGATCACATATATTCTTTCTTTACACACACGCACACACACACACTCACGCACACACACACACACACAACACATGCACACTCACTCTCACACGACTCACACTCACTCACTCACACACACACACACACACACCACACACACTCACGCACACACACACAGACAAACATACACACACACACACACACACACTCACTCACACACCACTCACGCACACACACACACACTCACGCACACACACACACAGACAAACAACACACACACACACACCGCACACACACACGCACGTACACAGCACCACACGGGGGGGGGGGGCGCGCAAGGCCGCGGCGACTCTGACAGACAGACAGGCGAGCGCGTGGCTTTAAGCTTAGCCCTAAGATTAAAGGTCGCCTATTTCAGGCTCTGTCGATAATGGCTCCGTGCCCCCTGTGACGCTCGCCTCGGAAGCGCCAGGCTCGACCTGCGAGTCCTCCAGTCCTGGCTCGCTCCTCAGGTCCCGATAGCCTTGCCGACTAAGCAAGTCCCCCCCCCCCCCCCGACCTTACACGGACTCCAGGCCTTGTTAGTCTTTCGGGTCTGACGAGAAAGCCCCCAAAACCTTACTTGCCTCTTGGACCTAAGAAGACCCATCGGAAAGTCTTCCTCGCTCGCTCCCAGACCTTGCCGGCTTCCCTCACCTGACTAGCCCCCCTGACCTTGTTTGTCCTCCAGACCCTGTCAAGCCTTGAAAACACTTGCCAGCGCCTCCAGGCCCTTCTAGCCCTCGGGACTAGAACATCGAGGCGTTACTAACTCCCCCTGACCTTGCTAGCCCTCTTGACCTTGCCTGGACCTCTATCCATCACTAAAGCTCGCTCAACCCTGCCTTCGCTAGCCTCAGGGGGTCCCCGGTGGCGTCGCGAGGGCGTGGGGGTCGAGCGGGGACGTCCCGTGGGCGGTCGCCGGGCCTTTCCCACAGCCGGAAGGAGACCCTC